CCAGTCAACCTCCCAAGAACTGCCGCCTTCAATTGCTCCTCCGTCCTCGTCAACCTCGCCCGATACCGTCGACAAACCGCCTCCACATTCCCCCTCTTGCTGTAATCATCCATCACACAAACAATCGCCCTTCCAGACTTGACCCCGAGCCCAAGCTCCAAAAGACTGATGGGCGCCGCAGTCGCACCGTGAAAGAAGAAGACGACAATGTCGGCTGCCTCCTGCATGTCCAGCTCCCACCAGATCTGTTCCTCCCAGCGTTTATCCGAAAAGTCTTCCTTCCAGGTAGAATCCCAGTCGTCGCGCTTGGGATTAAAGATTGTGACTGCGTGCTCAGATAGAGCCTGGGTGAGTGTCTCCCGCCAGTCAGGTTCGCCTGTGGCGCTTGTCGTGCCGGCGAGGAAGATGGATGTGTTTTTCTGGTCGTCTGCTGTGGGCCTCTTCGGCGCCATGAGGATTCGGGCTTGTGATGTCATTTTTGCGATGTCTCCGTTTAAAGTCAAGTGAATGTCTGTATGATGAATGATTGTAAAGTGTCAGATGTGAGCATGAGCTGAGATCCCCCGCCTTTGAGGCAGGCTGAAAGCGACAATGTGATTGGTCGCTGAGTTAATAATGAATAGAGTCGTAAGTGCACTGCATTTTCTGTCGCCGTTTTCTGGGTAGGAGCGTTGTGTTATAAGGGGCGTTTGCAACTTTTATTGCACTTGGGCTACGAACGAATGCCCATTCTCAGTCAACCAAACGTCTACAATCGGAACAATGGATCATACTCGATGTTCGTGATTCACCTCCTCGCATCGATCTCACCTTAACTTCAAATCACGTTTATTTCACGTTCACTTCAACATACATATCACAATGAATCATTCTCTCTTATTTTCCATAAACGGTAATCCGTGCAAGAGACAATACCAACCAATATATTTCTCTACCAATTCAACGCTTCCTATTGATCGCGCATTGTAAAATCTGTCTGTTCGAGAAAGGGAAATTTCCTCAACGCCAGCATCTCCCACGCCTATAAATTCCCCCTTCTTTTTCTGCTTCATAATCCTTCTCAACTCTACACATCTTCTCTTGATCAACAAACTTCCAAGTGAACTTCCTCTTGAAGCTTACTCGAAGCCATCCTTCAAGCATCTATAGCTCCCAAGCCCACCACTATCACCACATCGCTACGCCCATCATGGAACGACGGGACAACATCCTCACACCATGGCAGGAAAGGGCCCTGCAGAAAGGAAGAACCCCTCTGCCAGAGGCGCCTGGCGCACGACCTTGGGTTTCACACCCAGAGACACTTGTTGCGGCTCCTGCCGCTTACTTCGGGCTGGCTCCCGACACTGTGAGTTGATCTACCTCTCCTTTTTGCAGTCATTGATCCAGGTCTAACATGCATCTCTCAGGGTTCTTCCAGTGGTGTTCGCTGGGATGTCACCGACATCGCCAAGCTCCTAGCCCTCAGCCAAAAGGGTAAGAAGTGGGAGGAGATCGCCGTAAGTACCCTGTTGTGAACACTATCACAAAGATTTGAACTAACACTTCCTCTCCAGTCCCAGATAGACCGGTCGATCACAGCGGTGGTGTCCACCTGCGCTCTGTGGCTGGATCGGCTCAACCAGCACGTCCTCAACGAGGAGGACAAGAAGAACGAGGCAACTTGGGTGGAAGCCCATCGCCGCTGGTCGGCGGGGCTGCAGTGAAGGGTGGGTTAGTTGGCATTGTTTCTTTTTAGAAGAGGAAAGTTTTTAATCTCATGGCTACGGGATCATTCAAATGAACGGACTAGCACGGGTTGTGCACTTGACATGCCCTTGTATTCCCAGTGATGGAGAGTGGCTTTGCCTTGGAGGCGGAACTCGCGGTATTCTCTTTGGTCCTTCAGGTGGTAACTACGGATGGCTTTTGACAGGACCAGCGAGCCAACGGTGCGCCGTATCAACGATCTAGGTCGTCCCCGTCTTGTAGTAAGCTTGGGCCGGCTTGACAAAGTCATCGATCGTGAAGGGTACGTCTCACGAGCGGATGCTGAACGTACCGCTATCGGCATGGAGACAGAATTGTGCGAAATCAATGGTGATGGCCCTGAGCTAACCCCTGGTGAAGTCTGGATGTCCTTTCGCAAGCCCCCTAACCGCTCTTCTCGTTGGCGGAGATGCGCCCCTCTTTTCATCGTCAAAGGAGAATGTCGTATCGGTGACGGTGCTCTCTCATATTCTTCAAGTCTTTCAATCTGTAGCTGTTATAGCTGTTCTCGAATCTTGCTGGTCGCTCTGGTGCTTCGGTCCTCGCGTTCAAGAAACTCATATCGTTACTCCCGACCAAGACCCCAGCCTGGAGTCCAGTTCCTTAAGCATCGCTATCCAGCCTGTGTATAGTCTGTAAGGGAATAGGCTGGCTCATCACGTTCCTTCCTAGGCCTGCTGAGCTTGGCATGAAATGCGTGCTCCTTTTTAGGGGCCGATAAGTAAATCATCTCGACTGTGGCATTTCAGCGAAGACACAGATCGGTGAAAAGCCTTAATGATAATGTCCACCCAGACTTGCCAGAGCGAGATGATGATCTGGCCTGCCTCATGGCGTCTGTCATGTAAGAGTGCCATAGCAGTGGGTGCGGTACCCGGGTGGCTGGTGGGCGGTTAATACAAGTTAGGTAACTTCTTAATCCCACATAGTTTTTCGATTGCGTCTATTAACATTTTCCCTTCCACTTTGCCCTGTCTGCGTTCTTACGATCTTGTAGGTCGGTTATGCCGGCTTCAACTATGATAAAGAACACATTTCCAACACATCATGGATGAAAACGACGATGGTAATGAATAATCTCAAACCAATGTAAAACTTGATAAATTCACTATCTGTTTGGGTGGAATGCTGGTCAAGAAACGCCATCTGACTGAGCGGCGGCCCACACCGCAACTGTCGCGTCCCCCTCATGTCTCAGCTGAACTTAACATCTCCAACTCCGCGCTACAACCTCACATTCATCAAAGATTACGTATCCCCTCAGGCACAATGCTCATCCCACGTAGCGAGGCCATGTCTGGGCATAAACCTCACAAGCGAATCATCTTCTACCATCAAACCCAGTACAGAGACGACAGGTACATCTCGATCCTCCCCGCTCTCAATCCCTCATCCGGCGTCACACACGTCATCGTCGCCGCGATCCATCTCAACGCTCCCGACAACATTACCCTCAACGATGACTTGTACAATTCCTCCAAGTTCATTCCGCTATGGGATGAGGTCCGTCAGCTTCAGGCGGCCGGTATCAAGGTCCTCGGCATGCTCGGCGGCGCAGCGCAGGGATCCTACACCAAACTTGATGGGTCACTTGAGGGCTTTCATAGATGGTACCAGCCACTTCGGGAGATGATTAAATGGGCTGGCTTCGATGGTTTGGATCTTGATATTGAAGAGGCCATGTCGCTTGGTGGAGTTGTCCGTCTGATTGACCATTTGAAGACGGATTTTGGGCAGTCTTTTCTCGTGACGCTTGCACCTGTCGCACCAGCGCTGCTTAACAGGCAAAACCTCGGTGGATTCAATATTGAGGAGCTTGAGAAGGGATTGGGGTCGCGCATAGCGTGGTACAATGCGCAGTTTTACTGCGGCTGGGGAGACATGAGCAAGACGCACGACTACGATACCATCATCGCGCGAGGCTGGCCGCAAGAAAAGGTTGTCATTGGCTTGGTAACAAACCCGGCTAACTGCTCGGGTCATGTGAGCGATTCCAAATTGAAGGCGTGTCTGAAAGAGTTGGTGGGCAGATATCCAAGGATCGGAGGTGTGATGGGATGGGAATATTGGAACGCGGTGACGGAAGAGAGCCCGGACGTAGGGACGCCGTGGAAGTGGGCCGAGATGATCAATGACATCTTAAATCCAAAGACCAAGGGAGAGTAAGATAGTCTGCAGTATGGCGGTCATGTATCGGGAACGGTCATCGATGTATCGATGACGACAAGAAGGTTTCACCTGATTGGACCACCTTGAAACTTAGAGACACCTCAAGCCATCCTATATTTTCCTAATCCCTTGAATGAAATTTGAATCTGATTCTGCTAGTTAGCACACTCTCCGAATTGTCTGTCAAGTAGTGAACTCTCAAGATGGCCTCTGACGAGTACCACATGAAGAATCACCAGCACGCCTTCGAATCAGACAACGACAAAGGATGGGAAACTCAACCTCCTTATCAAAAGCCGCACGTAGCCACGAAAGAGCGTGCCTCATTTGAGCGCAAGGTTCATGGCTCCTGTCACTGCGGCAAAGTGCAATACTGGCTGAACAAAGACAGGCCACTTGCATCTAAGTATTGTCACTGCATCGACTGCAAGAAGATCCATGGTAGCTCATGATCGCATTTTTCCAAGATATTGGCTAATTTATGCCAGGTGCTCCGTTCCAGTGGGCTGCCATCTTACAGAAGACCGACTTGTCTTTTGAGAATGGCGTCCAAGGCCTGCGATTCTACAAGACGGCGACAAAGAAATCCGAACATGTACTCCCATGCAAGGTTGGCTGCGATGAGTGCGGTAGCTGGATCATGGACGAAGGGAGGAATATGGTGCTCTTATTTCCAACTCTACTGAACTTGGACACACCTGAGCTGCGAGAAAACTTTCGGAGCCAGTAAGGATAATCTTGGCTTTCAATTAATAAGGCTGACAGTTTTTAGATGCCACATCTTTTATCCCCAAAGAGTCGTGGATATTCCAGATCGGAAGCCAAAGTGGACTGGGTTAGATGAGAAGAGCGAACTGATGGACGAACGATAAAGCCACCGGCGAAAGATATGACAACTAAAGTAAGATGCAGATGCGCGTATGTTATTATTGAAACACAATTGAATCAAGAAAATATTTACTATCACATCCCGGTAGTCAAAGAGACGCCTCGCCGCGATGGAGTGGTTGGTGGCTCTAGGGTGAGTGGCGGTCAACTCAGCATCGCCACGCTTATAAGGACAAATTAAACCCTCGCGATCCGGGCGGATGGTTTAGTGGAATAATACTTCTATTGTCTTGCAATAACAATTACTGAAGTGGTCCAGGGTTCGAGTCCCTGTCTGCCCATGATTCAATAGTAAGATTCCACTATTGTCTCTATAACTTTTTGCGCTCAGAACCTTGGGGATAGGTCTTAAGGGGAGGCCAGGAACCTTCTTTTCTTTTCATATTAGACATGCTTACTACATTCACCACGAGCAGTTCACATCTCAGGCTCATAATGCCATGTGAACCAACTTGATTTGAGAGTGTCAGGTTTGTTTGAATGGGATCTGCCGACATGCAAGCTTTAGGCAGCAGAGTAAGCTGACACAGCCATGATTGGCCAGGCCCAACTGAGTTGCTCCGATGCTAGCTACACGTGACACTTGCGGGATTATCATATTCCTTGTCGTATTATTGCCTTGAGAATAGACACTTCCAAGGGATAAGACTTGGCAAGTCTCCACGATGACGCAGCCAAACAACGAATTATGCAGCACTTGTGCCGCTGTTGATTTCAAAAAGCTGATCTATGCACCCAAGTCGTCACCCGGCCCAGGTGATCCCTCACCAAACACACCCCTGGGGACCCTCAAAGACATTATTTCTCGATCAGACAAGTGCCCGGTATGCAATCTCATAGTTGATTCATTGAGAGAACGGTACAAGAAAACACCCAGAGAACACTTTGCGGATGTCTTTTATGGACGCAAGCCCCTGCCGAAGAATGGTGAGGAAGAGATCGATCCGGAGGTTGAAGAATATGGCATGCGTGTCACTTGGGGTGATAAGGACATCAAATGTTCTATCGAGCCTCAGTTCTTCTGCGAAATTTGGGAAGATTACGAGAATGTGAGATTCGCTGAAAGGAAAGATGACTTGTTTGTGCATCGGTTGTTGCTCACGTTGGAGCCGAATCCTTATGCTGTTCTTTCTTTCATGGCGACCGACTGGGTTCGACTACACGCCATTTGGTCAAAGGAAGACTCTAGTGACAGTTCTGGTAAATTCGATATGAACGGTCGACTTATTTCACCACAGGGGTCTGGTCGGCAAGTTGGTGAACACTTGGATATTTCTCTTGTCAAGGGTTGGCTTGATAAGTGCGAGAAGGAGCATGGAGATAAGTGTTGCAACCCTCCATGGCTTGCTGGAAGCGATGATACTTGGCTTGAACCGTTCAGAACTATCGATGTCAAGGAACGTCGGATTGTGAACTTGCCTTCACAAAGCCGATACATTGCACTCAGTTACGTTTGGGGAGCCAACAGCGAGACGCCAGAACATCGGGCCCGAAGACGGTTGAAAAGTGACAACCTTTCTCGACTAACTCAAGTCAATGGTCTCGATGGGATGTCTCTCCCCAAAACGGTTGAGGACGCCATCGAGCTCACGTCCAAGATGGGAGAGCGATATCTCTGGGTTGACGCGCTCTGTATCATTCAGGATGATATCAAGGACTTGAGTCATCAAACATCACGGATGGATCTAGTCTACTCGCGTGCCCTCTTCACAATCATTGCTGCTTGCGGAGACGATTCAGAATCCGGATTATCCGGTCTTCCAGGAAGGGAACGTGACATCTTCAACCGTTCAGTCCGTTTGTCTCCAGAAGGATTCCATCTTGCACCAACAGCCGGCTTGTTCGTCAATGCTCCTCTCGAGCGATCCACCTGGAGCTCTCGCGGATGGACATTTCAAGAACGCATCTTGTCCAGACGCATCATGGTGTTTACCCCATCTCAGGTCTTTTGGACCTGCGAAGATGCTATGTGGGATGAGGAGGTGATACTCGAACTTCCAAAACCGAGGGTACGAGTCCAATCTTTGGCTTTTGGATGTAATGATGAGTGGGATGATGGGGATCCCAAGTTCTCCGGTAAGGCGTTGGTCACGTATATCATGCAGTTTAGTATGCGTGAGTTTACCTTTTCTGCCGACGTGTTGCCTGCTTTCTTGGGCGTGGTACGTCGGTATGAGCACTTGAACAAGGAAACGATACACTGGGGTCTCCCCACGGCGTTGTTCGATCAGTCTCTTGTATGGCAAGCTGGAACTGAGCGTCGGCAGGAAAGGCACCGGGTTATTTGTGGTGATGGTGAGGTTCGAGAGGTACCGTACCCTAGCTGGTCATGGCTTGGCTGGACGGGGTTCGTCGGCCCAACTCTGCCTAATCATGAGCTCTGGGGAGAGACGAACATGGGAAAGACGGGTGCGGAGCTGCTCTTTTATGAATTACTTAGTGATGGCGAAGTCCGACTCGTTGAGGGGTTGGGACAGGCTGTTGATTCTGGTTTAAAGTGGAAGGGGGACAGTGTAGTCAAGGGGCCGATTGCTACTAACGACTTGATCGTCTCAAAGATGGAGAGCCTTGGCATCTCTGAGGCAGATTCACACATCACGCCCGCGTATGATACTGGCCGTCTTGTTTTCTGGACAAGCCATGCCGTGGTAAACGCAAATGTTGAGCAAGAGAAGCTCCTGATACATGTACAGGACCAACGAGTCGAGCTGAAAGCGTCCTTCAGCCAGAGCTTCCAAGCACGTCTCCACCGCGAGAAAGACACGTCAAGTCCAAAGATAGCTGGAGGGACGCAATCTATGGATTTGATCTTTATCTCTCGATTCTATGAGATTGCTAATGCAAAGGAAACGGGGAAGCTGAATGTCTTGGTTGTTGAGCGAAGCGTGCCTGGTTCGGGTATTTGGAGTCGGGTTGGGATGGCTGTTGTTGAGGAGACGGATTGGATTCTTCTAGAGCCTAACTGGGAAATGGTGATCCTGGAATGAATTTAGACTGTCGAGCAAACGGCATCACCGTTGTTGTTGATTATGATAGCGCGTCTCCAAGACGGCATCAGCCATAGTAACAAAGTACATATGGATATCTGGCTGTATTGAACCCCGATGCCGGAAGAGACTACCTAATATGATGGCCACATTATAGACAAGCTAATCAGATTAATACCCAGGCGGAATGTAAATCGTCGAATCTCAGCATCACGTCACAAGCACCTTGTCTGGGAGGCCGACCACCCCAACATATTGCCTTTACGTCAGTATAATTACTGTGCGGGGTTTATGGTTCGGCGGTTAATGGTGCCTTGTAATTTACTCATCTGTCGCCACTTGGCTCGCCCTCGAAGCCTGAAACAAGAAGGTGAGGCTCCTATTTTACACAATAACCTTAAGCTCACTAGGTAGCCATGGATCTCCTACGCGATAACGACGATGCCAAGACGGAGGCTTCAACAAGTGCTGCCTCCATCTTGACACCTCAGTCAACTACCATCACGGCTGATGACCCCTGCTACAGCCGCAACTACCAGGTTCCCTGGCCTGGCAACACGTACATGATCATCGAAAAGGGCACCGACCGGGCCATCACGCTCACAAGTACCGGCCTCTACCTCCAAGACATTGAAAAAGACCCCGACGCCAACAACCACTGGCTATGTGTCGATAGCCAAAACTACATTGGATTTTTCAACACAAAGTCCAGGGTGTACATGGGCCACGACGGCGGAAACGGCATGCTTGCATCTGCTGAGGCTTTGAATGACTGGGAGTTGATGGTACCGAGGCATCATCCCGATGGTGGCTATCAGCTATTGACGCCGTACTGGTCTAGTGCAATGATGATGGTCACGGCTCAGGAGGATGGGGGGAGTGTGCTGAGAACCAAGCATGGAACAACTCTGTGGCAGTTTGTACCAGTCTAGCCATTTTCGAGCTCCCACGCCTGCGACGGGAACATTTAGGCAACAATACAAGCTTTGGAAAGCCCAAGATGGACTGATAGCATGTGTACCACGTGGCGACGGGGGCTGCTTGCTCAGAGAATCAGGTTGTGAGGTGTCAGGCTTCCCATGACTTTGCATAGTTGGGATTGTGGATATAAGGGTAAAGTACCTCAATTTCTGGACACTTGAGCTCCAGTAAATGTGCCTGAATCTCTTGTTTACGTGCTCCTTTCGCGTCGTTGCCCGGGGTTTGATCACATAAAACTCGGAAATGGATATATCTAAACAAAGAATTATGCCAACGCGTAGTAAAAGCCCACATAGAAATCTCGCACGGTACCTTGAACATGGATCTGGCCCTTTTTTTTTTTTTTTTTTTTACCGAGAGGCTACTGTTTGCCGTGCTCACGGTTGATCGTCTCTGAGGCCATCAGCTAGCAATAGATGATACGCCTGCCAGCCTGATAACTCGCTCGTAGGCGGCCAAAATGACGGCCATGCGCGTGTGGCTGCACTTATCGTACCAGATCTGGCGCCTCACTCTTTTCATTTGCCTATCCTCGTTTCGAGGTGCTGCACCCAGTGTTGCACAACTGCGACCCTGCTTCCTATCATTGATGACGTCTTCAAAAAGAGGTCATCAATCACAACAACAAAGGACGCGGTTATTAATAAATGGAGGAATCAAAACATAGTAGCTTAAGGCAACGAAGCTTCGCGGCTGCCTAACAACTTGTAGCCTAATGGTCCTTGGGCACCGGCCTGGGCATCTACCAACAGAGAGTGAAACGGGGACCCTGATGAGTGCTGCCGCCATGCCGACCCGGCGAAATGTCCAGTCCGGTGACTCTTATCACGGTCTCTATTACAAGGTGCGCGATCATAGTGAGGGCCACTCTCCAACAGGCCCGGCAAGTTCTGGCTCTGTCAAGGTTTGCAATTCGCGGATAGCAACAGGTCTAGTGATCTAAGAACATAGTCTGTTCAGGGAGCGTAATCATATGTATTTTGTTGTTTATGTGCATTAAGCTACACGGATCTTCACCAAGACCCGTCTCGGCTCCAGAGGTACCCGACAAAGCTCGTCAGCTGAGATATCATACAACGGTGCCGGTCCTTCCCATCTCGAGCGCATATGTGCACCACTTGACTGTGATGCATTAACGTATATTGAGCCCATGCTAAGTAGGCCTTTCTCCCTCCTCTCCTCGACCGTGAGAGCCTCGCCAGTAGTAGTGAAGGGAAATGTGTCGAACTCTTTGAAATATGTCAGTTCAAGGAGACTTCTTTATGTGGTATGGTTCGGTTACCTCGGATATTCGTTACTAGTTGTCGTACACA